TGTGAAGTCGAGTGAGGAGGTCACTTGTAGAGAATACCTTGTCCGCTTCATGACACGCAAATATGGGCATTAAAAACAGGTTGAAAACCAGAATATCCCCCCTTCAAAAGTATGATCAGTTAGTTGCGAAAAACTGATGAGGTGTTTTGCCATCGGAATAACTTACGAGCTTCTCCATCAAAGCGGGATCGTACTTGCTGCGAGCTGAAAATATAGTGAATTCATTGGGTAGACGTAATACACTACTCATAAGGTTACTGAAAAGGTTTCGACAGCCCTGGGTGAATTTCGCTCTTCTTGGGGCTCATCAGGTAGGCGAAGTCTCTGAGTTTCCATCAACCTTATCTTCTAGTTGAACTCAAACTGCACGAAGTAAGCGAAACACATTCATCTGCCTACCAATTTGGTTTTGACAGGCAACTCATCTGGAACCCAGGCGAACGTCGAATATCATGCTTGGTGTAGCACATTCATTTGCTTAATAACATCATGAACAAATGATTTCTCTTGGTTCCAGTCAAAAACAAATTCGTATACACATCAATGCATTTCGCTAATATGGTAAATTCATTTTAAGGACTCCGTACTCTTAAGTTGGCTTGTCCCACAGGAACAATTAAAAAAGTCAGCACAGAAGACAGTCACAGAAGCAGGCATACTTTTATGTTTTCATGATGAAGCTGGCAGCGATGAAGACATGAAATGTTTGATCTGGTACACCATTGGGTATGCACTGCTGATGAGCTCTGATAAGAGCGAAACTCGAGTCCAGTGCTTCTCCTCGGTGTGGACTCACCGGGATAATTACGCCAGAACAGGAGGATGACCGTTCAAACGAAGGTGGTGTGACTATGAACATCTTAGGATAGTTAAACCCTAGTAAGACAAGAAAATTCGTACCTTGCAGGCCTCGGTGAAGAAAATCGTACCCAGGAAAAGTGTAAATGACCAGGCAAAACCCGTCTACTCATCCTCGGTACTGATATTCCTTTTTTCATATAACTTAGGGTCCTTTATGAAAGCAGTGTATAGCAGAGCAATATCTGCAGGACAAACTGTTCTAAGCAGAGTTTTCTGTAGATGTCCGTTACGTCCTCTGTTGTTAGCCACAACACTGCAGGGTGTCTCCGAGTTACGATCACCCCCTTTTGAGCGAGTAGGTTTCACTTGGGAGGGACGAGATGTGTTGAAATTAATACTCGGAAGGCGAAATTCTGCACCGTCAGCCGTCCGATGCACATTTTTAGAATTCCTGGATAGATAGAGTATTTTGACTTATTTTCACACGGAAAGCACCTTGTAATTCGAGGGGTCGTCAAAGAAGTAGCCGGTCGTTGGGTGACCAGGCGATATAAGTAAACCGCAGCACGTCCGAGGGATGATTGGAGCAGTTAGACATGTTGCTCACTGCTCACTTGAGGTGGAACGGTACATCGGACAACTGCTAGTTGGGTCCGAATCTCCCTAGAGATAGGTGAGGTCTGCACTGCTAATCGTCCACAACAAGAATAGTGCAGCTGTACAACGATACTTGGTTTGTAATACGAAATGAATTCAACTGCAGTTGGAAAATTCAGAGCAAACTATCGCAAATGGAGAACACTGGTGCATCGTTTCTCTTTACGCGCGGAATAGTAATCGTTGAGCTGTAGCACGCTTTCGGTGCCCAACTGCGATGCCACTCGAAGGGGGCATGAGGCTTGGGATACTGCCAGCTGGCCTAGGACTAGACAGGGGAAGTCGAGCTGCAGAGGTCGGGTTCGAGCCACGGAGCTTGCTGTTGGCAAATTCGCGCTCTGACCACTGAGTCACTGAAAGACTTATGCCTCAAAACGGCCTCAATTCGGTGCAGCCCTATCATTGTTTCGCTTGTGTTATTTGATCAGTAGTATTGGCTTTTACAGAATCTAGGAAACATAACGGGTGGCTTCCTGAATGTCACTTCGAAATGGGTGTCTCGTAGAAACTATGGTGAACGACGAGTGCTCTCGAGGCTTTCCACACTGGAGTGGCAACATGCTAGTTTTATCCGTTTTCCAACATTTTTCATGCACATCCTAAAAGATTTTATATGAGCGGCCGAGACATATGCTTGAAAATCGATGAGTAGGTTACAGAACTCGTCAGCAGCGTGCATCTCATGGAACTTTAGTGTGAGAGGGGTCTCGAACTCGTGACCTCCCGACACTTAACTGTTCGTTCATGAGTGGCTGATCAGCAGTGCGATTAACTCATATTTGGGCATCATATAAAGCCACGCATCCTTCGATCACGATACCATTTGAGTGACACTACATCCTGTCTAATTGATAGGTAAGGACACTGCTCTTCAGCCCATCGATCGAATATTCAAATTACTAGCAGGAAGGTCTCGGGTTAAAAACCTCATCGGGTTTCGTGCGGTGTATACTATTGATGGATCCTAGCAGTGACAAGACATCTCCATACAGTTGCATTTCTACCTTGTGGTGTGGGCTGACTTCACTAACAGGGCAAAATCTGGATTGAAACTACCGAATATCTTCAAGGTACAATCAAATACAGTCGTTAGTTCAGTTGATTGTGCGCAGTTTTATTCATTTTATTAAGCACGGTTCAACCGAATTTAAAGAAAACAGCTTGTTCTCACGAATGAAAAGTCCAAATCCACACATAATGAACAAAAGTTATGGTTAATGTGACACTTGCAGGCAGTTGACTCAAGTTCACCCGAAAGCGTCATTTCATTCTCATTTTGTGTACTGGAATTAGCATATTCGGTATTTGCAAAAACCCCTTCTTTTCTAGTTTCACATTCATTCGAACTTTTCAAAAATCAGTGTTGTCTACAGTGAAATCCTTCGGACCAGGTACTAAGTCTTCACAGAAGACTATCTGTGACTCAAAATACACCTGACTGAAGGCTACGGATGACTGTCAATCATACAGGTTACCTGTGGTTTTATGCATATCAGGAAGGTCAGATTCCTGAAAGTAACCTCAGAACGCCTGGAACCTACTGCCCCACCAAAATCTCAATAGGAAAGCCGGCGGGCATCCAGGCCAGTCAATCATTCAATCAATTCAGTAAAAGCCGATGAGTGTTCATGCACGCCACAGAAGCACGACTGAATGTGATCAGCGTTCAGGCATTTCAGAGGCACGATTGATGTTGATGGGTGTTCACAAACGCCTATCAAACAGCCTGGAACAACGTCAGAAAGTCCTCTTTAAATAGCGTGGGGCCGTTGCAACATTTGTCTCGAACTCGTTCGTTCGGAGTATGGTTGTTGTATTCCCTTCTGTGAGTCTTTTTCCCGGCAACTAGGCACTGGAGCGGGTCAGCAGTCAGATACGACAGATTGTCGAATCAGCAGATATAACAATACATTCAGTGAGCAGTACTCATAGTTAGATAATTCTGTTCGTGATTGGGCATCTTGCAAGATCCATTGTAAGTGGTTGCACGGAAATCACCGGGACTTATTATGAGCTACACATTCAGTGAGCAGTACTCATAGTTAGATTAGTCTGTTCGCGATTGGGCTTCTAGCAAGATCCATTGTAAGTTGTTGCACGGAAATCGCCGGGACTTATTATGAGCTATAGGGCGTCTGAGGATTGTCAGTGAGTGTCTAAATGAAGTCATCCGGAAATGGGAAGTATCGGGGGCCAGACACACTCTACTTTACCCTGCCCTCGTGCCGAATAATGCTCCGAAAGAAAGTTAGTCTTGCTCTTCGGATAAGAACATATCTCGCCAAAATGCGTTAACACTATCTTCGGCGCAATCCACGGTGTTTTGTTTCCTTTATGAGTGAACAACCGATAGAAGCTACCAATCTACCAGTTTTCATTTCATGATTTTTCGGAAAAAAATACATGATATTCAGATTTGAACTCACCAGCGTCGGATATCCCACAACAGGCAAGGAAATGAAAGAGACACAGACTACTGAAACGTATCATGACAAACGAAACAGGTGAACCAACGTCTCAAGCGTTTATAACTCCCTCACTAGTTTCACAATCAAGTCGCCGATCAATTTTGCCTTCTTTTTTGGTTGTTATTTCCAATAGATGGGAAATGAGACGTTAAAAATATCATTAGTGAACTCTTAATCAATGAGGAGTCGGAAGACCATTCTGGTCAACGATTTGACCTAGTGGCCGGGTACCTGATATCAATAAGTCTACCAACAGTTTTGGGACATTGCCCAAAAGAACCTTCTTCCATTGGACTTCAGAAAATTAGCAACATTTCACCTCTGTGTAAACGTGTTGTTGAAATCCGGGAAACCTGTTTTGATTTGTCTTCCGTGAAGCGTTTCTACGGTGACAGAGTTTCACTTACAGGTGTCCTGGTATTAACAGGCCAAACGGATCAATATCTGGGACATCCGTCTTTTAGTTGTCATTTCGTTCGCCAAATCGATAAAGACTGCACGGTATTTTGAAAATCTTCGCTTCTATTGTCACAAAACGTAAGATTTATGATATACTAACTAAAGGGTGTTTCCAATCTCTAGACCAGATATCGAAAGAGAATTCCGAAGCTACCTTCAAGTAGAGGTTCAGGTAGCCATTCCATTTGAAAATAGCTGACCCGAGAAGGTACATTCGTGTTCCACCTGGACACCTTGCAATTTCGGAGATATCTCTGTGGAAGTAGATTACGAATCGGAATATTTTCAAGGTCTGCTTGGTATTATTTAGTATCCTCATGATTCTTCTGTGACGTCAAAAAGGTCATCAACCACATCGAAGCTGAACGCCTGTTTATTATTTATTCCACTTAGGCCTAAAGAGACAGTCAATTTTAGTCAATAGGTGGAAACGGATTTGACTTGTAAACTAACAGTCGGAACTTAAGATTCGACTGTTTAGCAAGAGTCAATAACCTCGAGGTTTTTACTTCAGTCATCTAAACAGATGTGGGCGTACAGAAGAGACCATCACATTTACGAGCGACACCGTAGGTTGTGGTGTCTGGATCCCGAAACGATCATTGTCGTTTCTCAATGCGAGAAGTTGTGACGGTATTCGGCAATGCACTCGGTAAGACGACAGCTCCAATGAGACACAGGCGGAAAGCCCATGAGACGGACACGGCTAGTGAAGTCGGGAATGGACGAAAGATGCTTCAGCGCGAAAAACCGGACCCAGAAAATTACCTGCTTTTCAGCCAATCAAAGGAAAAATTGGAAATCCAGCATGCCATAAAAACCAACACTCTGAGCCAGTATCCAGCCTTTCCTTTGCCCCGGTCAAACTGAGCCGGGGTCCGTCAGTTCATGGAAAGCTATAGAGATTCCATTAATTCCATCTCTGACTTGACTCAGTTGGAAACAAGAGCGAGTTCCAGAGAACCAACAGTAAATAACCGGTCAACGTGAAAAGGTAACAGAAGCGACCATTCCAAATATACGGGAATAAGTCCTACTCACACAAATCACTACATGGTCAGCGGCCTACCTAACAGCAAAATCTCCAACTCCAACAGGTAAGAGGAAACTTCGAAAGCATCACGATCGGGCTACGTTGATCAAATCACCTCTCCTGCCAAACGCTTCAACAGTGTCACGCTTACCGCCAATAATCAATTGCATCTTTCATTCACTTGACACTGTGGACAGGGAAACCAATCTACGTTTGTTTGGACAAAGAGAAACACCTATGCATTCTGTAAATTCATTTCTTATTTTCTATTCCAACACTTTTGGTCCTGGAATAGTTTACAATGAACTGTCCGAAAGTCAGGTCGTGAACCACCAAGGTTTGTCAAGAAAGCTCTTTCTCACCACCTCCGTTCAGTTATATCATTAGTACTACAATCGTAGAAAATACAATGCAAAAGATCGAAAATATGGAGAAAGATCAACGAACTCAAGTTAGGCGGACAATATTATACTGCTATTCAGACGATCACCAGTCCACAGGACCTACTCTAAATACATTGGTTCTTTCTTGCAGCATGTGATCTGCACCCCCAGAGTTCTAGGTCTTACTTCAGGGGTTTCGGTACCCTTTGAAAGTTCGACGGGAAGAGCTTGGGAGTGTCAATCGGTTTACAATACCTTGACAACTGCATAAGCTAAGGTTTTAGGGTGACAGACGAAGCTAAATAGACGGGTACACGAGTACAAACAGTATTACTTCACGGTTGTGAACCAATTCGATCTGACGACCCCAAAAGCTGTCCGGGTCGGTCAGACTCCGAAACAATTCCAGTGAAGGAACGAAAGTGGCCAATAATTGAACCAAGTGGTTTTGCTGATGGATTTGGTTCTGAAGTCCTAGAAAATGGTGTTTTGGACATTCAGGGTCCAAGAAAGAGCTGTTGTAGCCTGGATTGATGTACTGTCAGGACACCCAAAATGATGGACTAGAGGTTCGACAAAATGACTCGAATCGTCCTGTAACAGAACGCCACCCTATACTCAGCAGTTGTTTTTCCTTGCCCAGAATCATCGAGGGAGAATCGAACCTGTTAAGCGTTACCACTAAGCTAGCAAGGTAGAGTTAGCCGCTTACAGTACAACGTATTTTCCTTCATGTGTCCAAACGCTTGCGGCTTCGAATCACCTGTGATATTTCCTGACACATCGAAACGATTGACGTGGGTGCTTCGAAGCTGTTCAGCATTGATGAACTAGACAAGATGCAAACTGGAAACCTTGAAATATCCACTATACATGGAATCGCGTTTGATTCCTTGTTTTGAAGCTTAAGAGCTCGAATGAGTAACAGGTGTTTCAAACAAATTTTGTACTATTTAGACACAACGTATTTCGTTGACCGTTTTATTCTGAAAAGAGTGTTGTGTGTAATTGACATTTTTAGGCCACAGTTCACACAAACACAACCAAGCAATGTGTTTTCCGAACCTAGCTTAGGACAAAATCAACGAGACTAGATCATGAAAACCCGCCAGGTGTGACTTGCCTTTGTGGACTGCATTTAATGAATGGGTCAACCAACAAACCAATAGTAAGAAAATCGGCAACAACGAACAAGTAAAACAAATAGATTAATATAGCCGAACAGAAAAAAACAATCACATCAACATCAGCCTATACAGGGAGATAAATAGTGTGTGTGTAGCGTGTCATGGGATATAGCAGAGCAGAAGGCTGGAACATAACGGACAATTTGCATACTCAAAACAGCAAGAAACTATGCAGCATGCAATTTGAAAGGACTAAAAGTGAGTCGCCTTCCTCTTTTGGTGAACGAGATGATAATACGACCGTGGCGAGGGAACACAGAGTGGACAGAACAAGGAAAGACGGTAAAGAAGAGTGGAGGCGCAATGCCAACGACATAGTGACATATTGCGTGCCTGAGTCTTGGTCGTCCAACGGAGCAACTACAAAGTTAACAAGATGAGTATATGCACAGTCAATTCTCATCGGTTCATTATCACTGAAGAGCCACAGAGTCAACTGGGCCCTGTATTTATATCGTTCTCCGAGGGGTGCATGGAACTCAGAACAGAAAGGCACTGTTGTATGAAGTTCGACTTGTAGTTGACGAAAGAGTCATCGTACCGTTCACAACCGTCCCACCAGGAATGTTTTGCCCCTGCGGAACAGAAGATGTATTGACATTATTGGGCAGTAGAATCATGGAGCTCGTTAAGCTGTTGGGCAGTTGTGATGAAGATGGAGATCCGGGGGATTGGTTCATTACCGAAACTGATAATCCAGGAGGTAAGGGAATTGTAGCACTTTGAACGACCGATTTGGGCGTGGTACCACACAGATCACCGTCCTCCCGAACCCCGAAGTTTGACATAGTTCCTTCCCAAGATGAACTCGCTAAGCGCACAACACCAACTCCACCACCAAGACGACGTGAATTCATGCTACCACGAAGGCGCCAACAATTCGTATCGGGATCGTAGAATTCAACGGTCTTCAAGTAGGTAGCGCCATCGAAACCACCAATGGCAATCAGCTGATTGCTGACTACAGCAAGGCCGACCTGCGGATGAACGAGGCCAAAAAAGAAACCGTTACAACCGGTCAAACAGAAGAAAAAAACAGGACAAAACTCCAGTCCAGTGGTTCTCCCCTTCTGGTATGGACTAAGCAGGATAATTGCGCAAGGACAGAAAGTGGACTGCAAACGGGCGATCCGCATGTGAACTCTATACATCCTACCAATTACAACTAATCCGAAAAACATCGTCCAGAAGGTTTCGATAATCCGCGGCGCTGACCGGGAAGTCCTGACAGGTGAGCCAATCGAACGACAAAACCAGGACAGTCATTCGATCCGTCGGCCAAAAAACAATCACAACGCTCAAGCATAAGCAAGTTCGCCCGTTCAGATTTAACAGTTCAAGTAAATTGAGCGTGTGCTGCTGGAGTAGTGGAAGCACGCTCTATGTCCGATGTACGAAGTTAAAACCTCAGTATGGCCAAGAATATGCATTGCTGATTAGATGTAATAAGATCGATACTTGAAGACAGTGTTTTCCTCTTTGGTGTGAACTAGGTGATTGAACCAGGGCAGAAAAGTGACTGTTCGACGTATATTCTCCGTTTTATTATTCTTTATGCATCGGAGCTTTCTTCAGATAAACTGATGCAGTGAAGCAGCGGTGTTCGACACGCAGCTGGATGATGATACTACTTACTCCCGTAAAATGGACTAATGATGATCCTATCTGAAGGCGAGATGGCCCAGGTGGTCAGAGAGCGAATTTTCTGACCGGAAGGTCCGTGGTTCGAACCCCACCTCTGCCACTCGACCTCCCCTGTCTAGGCCTGGGCGACCTCGCAGTGTCCCAGCCCT